GGTTCCTCAGGCTAGAAAGATAGCAGGCTTTGTATATGAGTTTTTGCCACCTTGTACCACACCACAATTTTCCTCTGTCTATAGGTCAAAGCCGCTCGAAATGGGAAATGATTCTGTGTTGGTCACTTCCTACACATTTTGATTCTGTATACTTCTGTCCACTCTCTTGACTCCTCAGGTTGTTGTTTTACTGTCTGGAGTTTCCAGTTGTTACCTGTGGAAAGGTCAACCTGTTATAAGTCTACTTCTCCATACTAGAAGAGGAACTCTCTAAATGAACGTAATAAAAAAATTAAATTTTTGCATATAAATAATAAATTATAAGAATTATGCATGCTTGGGGTGCCTGGGTGGCTCTGTCAGTTAAGTATCCGACTCTTGGTCTTGGCTCAGGTCTCCACCTCAGGGTCAATGGTTCAAACCCTGTGTTGGGGGCAGGAGTGCGCCTGGGTGGTTCAATTGGTTAAGCATCCAACTCTTGATTTTGGCGTCTCAGGTCATGATCTCAAGGTCTGGCTCTGTGCTGGGCATGGAGCCTGAGTAAGAGTTCCCCTTTCTTTCTGTTTAGTTTCCCCCTCCCCCACACTCTCTCTCTCTAAAAAAAAAAAAAAAAAAGAATTATGCATGCTTGATCTAAGGATTATATTTCTGGCATGTGTGTTTAAGAGAATTTTCCCTCTACTTGTCCATTCCTAACCACCATTTTACTATCATAAGAGAAGTTTATTTTCTTATTCTGCTTCAGATTGTCTAATAAACACCCTTTGATAAGCTGATAGGCAACAAACCTATAGATCCAAGTCAGTGCTATTCAAATTGTGGTTTACCAATCAGTGCCTGTACATGAACTATTTATTGCCTGTCCATGATGAGATGAGAGCAGAATTGAGAATATGTGCTAAGGAACCTTCATGTAACTTTCATGAAGTCATTTTAGATCCATTACTTATAAGAAAAAAAATTGGCCTTGCATATTGCATGCCTTCAGGTTTTAAGTTTCATTTATTTAGTAATTAATTTTTCTATTTTAAAAAAACATTGGTTGATGACAGCTTGGAAATTAAAAACAAAACACTTGTTCTTCCCACAGATCATTTGAGAAACACTGGCCCAGATTTCAAATAAAAAAAATTACTTTTGGGAAGGTCTTAAGTTAACCATTTAATAGGAGAGATTGAAAGAGGACTTCAACTACCTCCATTTTGACCTCAGTCTATACCTTTTAATTGATTAAGTTCCTCTTTCCAGCTTATTTCTTAACTCAGGCAAAAGACCCTGTGGGCAAAGCATCCCTGGATTGGGAACAGAAACTACCAACTTAAGCAGTAAGGACTGTCCAGAGCCAGCAAGACTCCGCCCATGGTCCATGACTGACTCCAAGATAATGATCAATTTACTTTACTGCCCACCTGCACATACCCACCAACTTTGTTCCCATGTTTTCCTTATATAAACCTGGAAGTATTTTCAGCACTTTGAGATAGTCAAGAGGATAGTCTGCTGTTTTCCCAGCGTTGACCTCACTGAAATAAATTCCTTTCTTGTTTCACCACCACTAGTTTCTCTGCCTTTGGATTATTGTAAGCTGGGAGTGGCTGAACCTGGTCTGTTTGGGATCCCTGAGGCAGGTGCTCTTGCACACCTGTACCCCTGCTACAAGATGAACCTATGCTGTAATTTAACTTTAGCAATAGTTCCTGAAGACCTGGGATAGGCTAAACTGTTCTGTTAAAAGACAAGAAAACTGGGGCGCCTGGGTGGCTCGGTCGTTAAGTGTCTGCCTTCGGCTCAGGTCATGATCCCAGGGCCCTGGGATCAAGCCCTGAACCGGGCTCCCTGCTCGGCGGGAAGCCTGCTTCTCCTTCTCCCACTCCCCCTGCTTGTGTTCCCTCTCTCGCTGTGTCTCTCTCTGTCAAATAAATAAATAAAATCTTAAAAAAAAAAAAAAGACAAGAAAACTGAGGTGCAGAAAGTCCTAATCAAGGTGATTTCTCTTGGGTATATGACACAGCAGCCAACATGTCAGAAAAAGAATTAAGGACTAATTTAACTTTCAGCTGAGATTAAAGTATTCTTTGCTTGTTAATCATTCTCAGAAATCACTGCTTTAATATTTAGAAGTAAAACGTAAGTTCAGAGGAAGAACACATAATAATAGCAACAGATCCATTGACTGAGATCCTTCTGCACAACCAACTCTGTATAGGGAAAAATAATCCTTTTATGTGGATATTTTTATTCCCATTTTAGAGATGAGAAAGCAGTGTTGGGAGAAGCAACTTAATTGAAATCATGTGACAGAGTCAGGATTCCAATTCAGATTTGTCTGGTTCTAAAATCTCTACACTAACATTATTTTTTCTTTTTTAGATTTTTAAGTAATCTCCTCACCCCAAAGTCGGGCTCGAACTCACAACCCTGAAACCAGGAGTTGCACGCTCTACCAACTGAACCAGGCAGGCGCCCTGCATTATTGTTCTTTATTAATCACCAGATAGACTCATATACAAATTGTTACATCATCAGGCAGGTGGTTTCAAGTGCCCTATTAACACAGTCCTAGAAACAACTGGGCTGTAGAGAGAGCTTGGATCTTCCTCATCAGTCTTCACCAAACTTAGCTTAGCAAAATCTATGTCAAAGTATCAAGTGACAGTGAGTCAGCATTTTGGAAGGCAGGTAGAAACTAGCAATCAATAAGCAAATTCTTCTATGAATCATTGTAGATGTTTATGCTTAAGTGTTTCTGCCCATTTTCTTTGCCTATTAGAGGAGTACAGTTAAAGGCCTCTTTAAAAATTATATAAATAAAAACTATCAGCTGCCATCCTATCCTTGCCAAGCTAGAGAATGGAATAAAAAGGCAAAGGCTTTTAAAGTGCTTAAAAACATTTTATTTTAGGGACGCCGGGTGGCTCAGTCGCTAAGCATCTGCCTTCAGCTCAGGTCATGATCCCAGGGTCCTGGGATCGAGCCCGGCATAGGGCTCCCTGCTCCACAGGAAGCCTGCTTCTCCCTCTCCCACTCCCCCTGCTTGTGTTCTCTCTCTCGCTGTGTCTCTCTCTGTCAAATAAATAAAATCTTAAAAAAAAAAAACCCAACATTTTATTTTAATAAGTATGCTGAACACAACTAGGTTAGGTTGTTCTTTTGGGGAATGTACTTCAAGTTAAAACTTCACTGGCCCTATACTTTAAGATTTTCTTAAAACATCAGTTGTCAGTATAAATTAAATCTAGTTTAAATGAACATAATTCTATTTATCCTAGCAGGGAAGGTTTTTTAAATGATTCATTGTTATTTCTTTTACAGAAATAATCTTTGCATCATTTTATACTTCACACATGAGGTAACTGTGATTCAGTCTCAACCAGAAAAATCCCTTTATGCTTTCCTTCTTTTGTCCTTCCCGTGTCTTCCGTAACAGAAAATTACCAGCAGAAGCATTTCCCCTTCACCCAGTTCCTATTCTCTTATCACAGTTCTATCTCTCTACCCTCCCTTCCTGCTCTGCAGGGGAATTTGAGAGGGCAGGGAAAGATTGCTTAAGTTTGTCCCCTATCCAACATCACCACATACAATAGTGTATGTGTCTAATTCTCTTTGCAGATTTATCAGATCCCATTTTTCCTCTTCCATACCTCCTTGGGTGTACAATGGACTAATGCCAAAGTGCTTTGCCCCTGCACCCTTCCAGACCACACAGACTTAATCCAAGTCATAGTTTGAAAATTTCTGCTTTTCTAGTGCCCTTTCTACAATACTGGGCAGGTGGTAGAATGAAGATAGGAGTTGAATCACAGATCTGTACCTCTGAAACAAATAATACAATATATGTTAAAAAAAAAAAAAGAAGAAGAAGATAGGGGAAGAATAAAGGGAGGGGAACTCGGAGGGGGAGATGAACCATGAGAGACGATGGACTCTGAAAAACAAACTGAGGGTTCTAGAGGGGAGGGGGGTGGGGGGATGGGTTAGCCTGGTGATGGGTATTAAAGAGGGCACGTTCTGCGAGGAGCACTGGGTGTTATGCACAAACAATGAATCATGGAACAACTACCTCAAAAACTAATGATGTAATGTATGGTGGTTAACATAACAATAAAAAAATTTAAAAAAAGCATTAATTTTTTTCCTAAAAGTCCTGTACTTTCTCTACTACCTTTCCCATACCAATCACTTCTCTGCCCCCTTCCTATATATTCCTGCCCTATAGCTACCATTTTTTGAAGTTGTTTTAGTAAACCGTTTATATGCATTAATACATCACATCCTAACACTTATGAAGTAGGTAGTAATCCTAACAGCTAATATCTGAGTGCTTACTATGCGCCAAAAATTTTTAAAGCATTTTACATGTATTAATTTATCTAATCTGTGAAGTTATTATTTTTCATATTTTACAGATAAGGAAGCTGACGTTCAATACCTTGGGTTACACTCCAAGCGACCGGCAGGGGCAGGACTTGAATTCGTGTCTGACTGGCTAAAGCAACCTTTAATCACTATTTAATTATTAATCATTTAATTATTATTTTCAGCCCCAAATCTGGTGAACACTTTGCCATCTCTAGTACCCTCACCCTTTGTGTGCCCCTATGTTCTCTTCCTCTCTTCGTGCACCCCCCGTCCTTTGCGCCCCTTCATCCTACTGTTCGCGCGCACGCCTTTACTACCCCGTCTTCTCCACCATTCCTGTCTCAGTCATCCCCATCCCTATGATCCCTGTCCCTTTCTTCTCTTGAGATCCTCGCCCCTAGTATTCCCTTATTCCTCTCTCTTATTTCTAAAATTCCCCCCTCCTCCCAAGGGGTCCTCGAGTCTCCCCCAGCCTCAGGGTACACTCTCACCGCGGGAAGGACCACTTCCCTTTCCCAGCCCAGAGGAAGCGCGCGGTACGCAGCGAGCGCACGTAGCGAGCGCAGCGCGTCGGGGCTGGAGTCGGAGGGGAGCCGCGGGGTCCTCCCGCTCCCCGGCAGTCCCCGGGCGCGGTGCAGTCTGGGGGAACATGGCCGCTTCCGGTCTCCCTCCCGGGCCGGCGCGGGCCTGACCGCGGCCCCTGCCCGGCGCACTCCGCCCTCCGCTCCTCCCGCCCCGCAGCCGCGGAGGTCCCTTCAGCCTTTCCCTCCCGCTGCCCCCGCCGCGCCATGGAGAAGAGCTCGAGCTGCGAGAGTCTTGGCTCCCAGCCGGCCGCAGCACGGCCGCCCAGCGTGGACTCCCTGTCCAGGTAACCAGGATGCCCAGGGCCCCGCCCAGCGCCCGAGAGGGATGGAGAGGGGCCGGGGACCCGCTGGATGGTGCCCCAACTCTTGGGCTTGCTTCCCGAAGGCTGCGCCGAAATTCCTTTCCTGGGACTTGGGAACCACTTCTTCCTCCCTCTTTGGGGTTTAGAGGCTGGGGAAAAGGGAGGTTAAAACTCACTGCTGCTTTATCGGTGACTCTACGTATAACGATCTCTTTTTATCCTTGGTTGAGGGAGCCCCAGTTCATTAGTTTCTCCTGTTTCTCATTCCCTCTCGAATTATTTTTTTGGACCGCCCTTCCCCCAGCCACCACCCCTCATTTCCTCTCTGCCTTTCTTTACTCTTTTCCAAACCATTCTCCAGTCTTTCTTCCATCTGTCCATGTTTCTTTGATTTTGGGATTCTTGCCCATCCTTTCCTCTTTTTTCCATCACTTTACTTCCATATCTCTTTAATGATTTTCCCTATACTCTGACCCCTTCCCCCCATTTCGTTTTAAAAAATGTAAATAAAAATGCCCACTGTACGTCTTTTCTAAATCTTGCAGCTGAAAGTCATTATCTAGGAATCTGAGCAGTCCTTAACCCGGAGTGAGTAATGAGTGGTAGTTTTTTTCCTTCTTGGGCTACCGGTTCTCCTGGTTATTTCTCTTGTTCCAGATGGGATTTTTTTTTTTCCTGGAATTTTGAGGAGTACTTTAGTACGCAATTTTGTAGACAGCTGTTGTGCATATTAACTAGACATGTTTTAGATGAATATTTTCCGTTTGGTTTTAAAATAGTGATTTAAAATTTTAGGAAGAAATAATAGAAGACCCGTGTTTGTTATGTAGCCACAATGAAATCAGGTTCTTTCCCATCAAAAAACAGTCTAATTATTAGAGAGTTATTGGATACTAATCTGTGTGAAAACATTTCATTTTCCTCTGAATAAATTGAAGTTTCTTTCTTTTAATTTATTTGGGACTCCACTAAATATGGCTGATACAGCTATGTTTTCCTATTACTGTTCAGACCTTATGGGAAATTATTAGCTGATTCCATCATTATAAATTAGATTCTCTAAAGCACTCATAGCAACCTGCCCACACCTTTTTCAGAGTTCTTAACAAACTGTAATTGTTGGTTTAATTGACTTTTCTCCTTTTACTTAAGCTACTGTAGGACAAGGACCATATCTTACTTACCTTCTTGTCCCAAGCATTTAACAGAGACCCTGCATGTCAGAGGTGCTCAATAAATTTTTTTTTTTGAATCTGTAGATGTAATTATCCAGGAGAGAAGAATTTTTCTTTGCATTCAATCATATATACCGTACATTTGTTTCAGGTATTTTAAAAATTTTATGTTTATTACTCTGAAATTTAGGAAGTGGAGGATTTACATTCTCAGTCATAAAATTATGCAGAAAACAGGTTGGAAAATTGTAATTTTATAGGAAAGTTACAAATGGCAGCTACAGTTCAGAATAGAATGTAAAGAAAACAAGTGAAGCAACCAGTAATCTCACCCAAGCAAGAGGATTTAGAACCACAGGAGGCAGCATAGTCTGTTAGAATGAAGAATGTACTGGAAGTTAGAAGGCTCAGGCTCTTAAAAGTCCTTGGCTCTGCTAGCTTCTTGGCTTGTATCATTTAATCTTTCTAGTCTGCAGTTTTCTCATCTTTCAAAATAAAGAAGTTGATCTAGAAAACCTGTAAGGTCCCTTGGCAGTCTAAAGTTCTATCATTCTTTCTCAATGACAATAATGATTAAGATGCATTCTTAACTACTAAGATATTCCCTTTACGGATTTTTGAAATTATACAAAATCCCTTTACGGATTTTGAAATTATACTAAATAAATAAATTTATTACAAGTTAATGTACCTAATTGTGCCATTTAAGTACATTTAATTCCCCCCCCAAAGAAAGCCCAGTAACTTTAAAGTTTATATATGCATTCTAATTCTTAAAAAATTATGTTAGTGATAATATGAATTTGAGGAAACTAACTCCTTGAAAGAGTTTCGACTAGAATATGTTAGCCTCGTCCTCTCTGGACAAAAACATAAGTATGATCTACTTTCCATAGGAAAATGACAGCTTTCTCCTTTCCTCTGGACGGTAGAAAAAATTACATTTATTGAATGTCTGCTATGTAGAATTCACCCTGCCAAATTTTTTCATGTCTTTTATTTTATGAATCATTACACCTGGTTGATCAACAGTATAGAATAGCTGCATTGTAGATGCTTGTTAGCTTAAATTTAAACTTAATCTAGGCAAACAATCAATTGTAGATGATTCTGATACAGAGGCAGGGTATACAACCATGATTATAATAGCTATGCTAAGTGGCTATCCAATTGTTTAAGTTTTTACTTTGATAGTCTATGATAAAGCAGAATATCTATGTTTTGACTGTATTGTCTCAGCCTTTTGCAGAAATGTTGCCCTTAAATAGTTTATTTTTATGCCTTCTGGTTTTTACAATTAGGAAATTTTCAATTTTTCAATTAGGAAAATTGCCATGTGAATTTGTTTTGATACCTCCTATACAATAATAGTTAATATGTTCAGTGTGTTCTATATGTCTTTTACAGACTAGATTGACATAAATTTCTGCTGAGTTTAGCTCCAGGAAAAATTGTTTATTCAAAAAAAAGTGTGTTTCCTATTTGTTTGAAAATGCAAACTATGTAACTGCATGTTTCTCTTCTAATTAGCAAAAAGACTTCAGTCAGATTTGTAACTGAAGTTGGTAATATACGCCTATCTAATTTCTTCAAGTACTTCTATTAGATGAATTCAGTTTAAATATTATATTTAAATGTGTTAATTTGTAAGTTTTTTATATTTTTCTGGGAAATAGGAAGAATATAAATATGAAAAATTTTACACTAATCCTTCTGGTTGCCCATTGTTTTTTTGAAAATGACACACTCCATTGAAGTTGGGTGACAGGCTCTTGTGGGATCTGTAGTTCACACTAAATGTATGCCGAGTCTTGGGGCGCCTTGGTGGCTCAGTCAGTTGAGTGTCCGACTCTTGGTTTCAGCTCAGGTCATGATCTCGGGGTTGTGGGATTGAGCCTGGAGTCAGGCTCTGTGCTCATTGCAGAGACTGCTTGAGGTTCTCTCTCTCTCCCTCTGCTCCTCCTCCGGTCGTGCGCACTCTCTCTCTCTCAAATAGATAAAATTTTCAGATGTATGTTGAGTCTTGATATGTCTATCTGTCTACCTATATATGTGGTCGTCTCAGAGCTCCTACTGCTTTTGGCTTTGCCTTTTAGGTCATCATAGGCTTGATGCTTTTGGCCACAAAGGAGTGATTTAATTTTTTTATATGATAGCCGGTTAGCAGTTTCCTAGTCAGCTGTAGTTATGTCATCCTCCATCCTTAAAAAAATGCAATTTTCTTTGGTGAATCTTGCTTGGTGTTAGTCTACTTCAATGAGCTGTTCAGCAGCTCTTGTATATCCTGTGTTGTCCATTCTTCAGTGTGTCCAGCCCCAAAGAGAGAGTTGTGAAAAAGTTCACTTCAGCACCCTGATAATCTGGCTGCATTCCATAATTTAATTCTTGTTGCCCTTGCTCTGATTCTTGACCTAAGTATGATTTATGCAGGATATAGATAAAACAGTACCGTAGGCTACATATGATAGCTAGGGTAGGCCTGAGCCTTAGAATTGTATAAGTTATACAGCAGGATTTGTCGCTATATTGATATTATTTCTGCCTTCTTAGTCTGGCTTTCCATTTTTTGTTTGTACACTGTTATGCACTGCCTGAGTGGGTTTCTTTGATTATTTTTTATTATGCATAATCACATGCTATTATATCTAATGCCAAATAGGTGTCTAGTAAATGTTTGAATAAAGAAATGTTGAATGTTCACTGCTCTCTTATTTGCTGTCTCCATTCAAAGGATTACAAAGGGTTTTCTTATGTTGAATTTGGCCAGTAAAGACACAACTTCAAGTTCAAGCTAAAGTTATTCTTGCATGAAGCCTCTTGACACGCTGAGCCGATTTTATTGGCTACATTATCTTTTCTGTGCCCAGTCATATATTTTCACAACATTGTGTTCCTTTAACCTACCTGCTTTTCCATCTGCTACTCTTGATTATTTTGGTCTCTTTCTGTCTAACTTATCTTGTCATTTTATTTAATATCTGTTTCTTTCATCTTTTATATACCCTCATATACTCTAGTTATTCTGGGCACCAGTTGTTTGTCTCAGATTATTTTGGTTTATCAGTTGATTTCTAGTCTATAAATTCATTAGCATTTATATTTACATATTTATATGTATATACTTACATTTAACTTAGATAAAAAAATCAAAGTGTGGTACATTGAATATACTCAGAAAAGTAGTCTTCAACTAATTACATTTTTAAGTTACATGTCTTCCTTTAAAATTATCATCATCTGAAAACAGCAAATTCTGGTTGTTTCCATGAATTTTGATGGTACTTATAGTCTGAAAAGGGAGAAGAGTTTTTAAGATTTCTGAAACACATTTTTTGTAAGATTTCATCTCTAGTTTCAGCCTCAAGTTCACTTAGAGCTGATATGTTGGTAGGAAATGTGTTTTTGGGTTGTTTTCCAGTAGTGGTGATAGATTTGTGTCCAATCACACACTCTGACCCACTGACTCTTGGCATGTCTTCTGAGGCATCTGGCCAGGATTAGTGGTAGAAACTAGTTATGGAACTAAGTGAAACTTGCAGGTTGAGCTTCCAACCTTGGCAATATAATTAGCACCTTGTGTCAGACATTGGACATACTTACTTATTTTGTATTTCATTATTCCAGGACCCAGAAGTACTTTAAAGTTCTGTCCGATAAGATCCAATATTATTGTGAACTTCAGTAATTACTGTATAGATTTTTTTTCTGAAAGACAATTTAAAAAGATTAATTACTAGTCAAAAGTATACAAGTGTACTAAAATTGAGATTGGGTCCCATATGTGTTTTTTTCTTTCCTCTTTATGCTGTCATCAGTAGTCTTCTATTAATGTCAATCAGTAGTTCCCAGATCAGTAGCATCAGCATCCTTTGGGGATTTGTTAAAAATACAGATTCCCTGGTCCTACCTCAGATGTAATTGGATAAAACACTCTGGCAGTGGGGCCTGCAGTTTGTTTAAGCAAGTCCTGCAGGTGATCCTAAACTAAAACTAGAGTTTGAGAACCACTGCCTTAGGTCTTTTACTAATTGTTTTCTAGTAACTCCATCAATATTTGTTGAAACAAACTAAGTTAAGGTCTGTGTTCCCGCTACCATAAGCCTATTACTTGAAAGCATTTTTGTGGAAATATTGATTGAAGTAGTGAAAGGTAAAAGTCATCTCTTTAGGGATTTATGACATCTGATTTTTAGGAAATTGCCTGAGGTTTTTTTCTTTCTCAGCTATGAGTAACACATCAGGAATACATGTTTTAGGTCTTTTCTTAAAAATAGGTCCTTGGGGCGCCTGTGTGGCGCTCGGTTGAGTGTCCAACTCCTGGTTTCAGCTCGGGTCATGATCTCAGGGTCATGAGATTGAGCCCTGCGAGGGGCTCCGTGCTCAGCAGGGAGTCTGTTGGAGATTCTCTCTCTCCCTCTGCCTCTCTCCAACTCGCGCGTGCACGTTCTCTCTCTCTCAAATAAATCTTAAAAAAAAAAGGTCCTTGGTGAAATCCATTAGTGGTAACATAAATTGAAAAAAATATAAATAAGTAATTCCAGGAAGCCATCACCTGAACGAATGAAGTCTGGATTACGCCCAAGGGAAGGAAATAACCCAGATACAGATGTCCAGAAATCAGTAAGTTTATTTTGTAAAGCTGCCAAATTCATGCTATTGTATTCAAAATCTCTAGGGCCAAAGTTTGCATGTGAATCAGGACTTGACCAGTGGAAATTCTTTAGATTTTAGTAGAGAGTACTTTTTCTTTTGAAGAAAATTAGTTTTGAATAGGTAAAGCACTTGCTATCTTTGTCCCATTGTTTGAATTAGTTAAATCTGTGGATAGGATTAAAAACTATTGAGAGTTGATAGTTAAGGATAGGCAGTGATTTTATAAGCCTGCTTCCCACAGGAAGTCAGGTTAAAAATTGAACTATCAAAAAAAAAAAGATTGGTACAAAATTATTAAAATCAAAGGGACTAGAGACGATGCCCTCTTAATGAAAATAATAATCTCCGTTCCCTTTCCTATAATTTTATTACACAAAACTAGCTGTGCGGTCCCTCTTACTGTGCTTCTGTGTATGTGCCAGTCCTGCCATCACTATAGACCACGAATGTGCCGCCTTCACAGTTCTTCCCCCACTATGTACCTGGTACTTACCATGGCAGGCATTGCTGATGACCTTTCAAAGGCTCTTACTGGATGAGATTAGCTCTTGGGCTCTTTAAATACTTTTTAGCCTACATTAGGTAAGGGCAGATGCTATGTTTTCAGTATAATAAGAATTCACTTTTAAAGTATCTTTTGAACTATATACTTCAAAAACCCTAAATACTGATACTTGGAAAATTCCTCTTATTTTTTTGAAGTTAGGGTTTAAGTTTAACAGATTATAACAGAAAATCCAAACTAACTGTGGCCTAAAACAGATGATTTTAGTTTTTCTCACATATAAAAGCCCAGAGATAGTCCATACTGATCTGTTATAGTGGACCTGAAGTACCAAGAACACAGTCTCTTTATTGCAGTGTTACCTCATGAACCAAAATTGCTGTTGGAACTCTAACCATTGCATTTATTGTAGTCAGAAGGAAGGATGAAGGGAAGAAGAAAGGCATGTTTTCTTTCTTAAGGGATACTTTTTTGAGGTTATATATAATCTTTTAAGCTTACATCCAGTTGGCCAGAACATGGTTCCATGGCCATACCTAACCACAAGGGAAGGCTAGGGTGTGTAGTCTCTTCTGGGAAGCCTGTGCTGAGCTAAAAATTGGAGGTTCTTTCCAATAGAAATAGTAGAAAATGGGTATTGGAGACAGCAGCTTCTCCATAGCATAAATGAATCATTTTATCAAGGAAGACATTTTCCCATTAAAGTCAACAATACTTCACTTACGGCAGAGACATTCTTAGACTTGCAAGAGCGGTGACCAAAGTAGAAAATACGCTGAGAGACATGATATATTGTAGCAGGCCGGAAAAGAAAACTGTATCTTGGAACACTCTAAACTCAAGTTTTTTAACTTTATACTTTTTTGTGTGTATTATCTTGGGCCAGATTTTTATAATCCTAACCTGGGATCATAACATAAAAGGGATACATTTCATAATTGTCAACTTTTAAGTGAAAGGTAGATGGAAATCAAATGAAGAATGATCAGCCGTGCTATTTCATTTTTTATTTCATTTGAAGAGCTCAAGGAATTGCATGGTAAAGTAGTGGTGGTAATGAGGATGGTGGCCGACACTGCTTACTCTTCGGCTGTTTCCAGTTTGCTTCCCAGCCTTGTGTCCATGTGTTTTATCTCCCCCCAAAAATATTGCCTCAGGTTTCTACTTAGGTATTTTCTCTCATTTCATTTCTAAAGGTTTGGTCTCCATAGGGGAAATAAAACTGGCCATTTGGGACCATGTTAGTTTATGAATGCTTTTGCAATATTTTTTGTGTGCTTTTGTATCTTTGACCTTAAAACTTGAAAATTCAAAGAAATCCATGTTTATGCATTTTTGTTTCTGAACTTAAATATTAATATTTTAAGCATGTAATGTCATACATAGGTGTTTTAATCATTTGGAAGTGGGTAGAAGAGGGTAGAGAAGGTTCCTCTGGATTGGTATGGCATTATTCTCTGGGCTCAGAGGATTTAAAAGGCATGAGTTATATGCCTTTTAAATATACCCATCTCCTTTCCTAGCAAAATTGCCTTTACAGATCACTGCAAGTAGGACTTTGTTAGAAGATTGTGTGTTAGCAAAAGGAATAATAACTTTGGCCCAAGACAGGCTAGTGATTTCAAGCCTTAATTTTCTTGAGCTAAGCAGGATGCCCGGCAAGGTCAAAAATAAAATTTTATATGATACAGATGTCCTCTGTTACTGGTATTGGATAATATTCTTCCATTATAACCAAAGGCAGTATGTAAAAATAGGATAAACTTTGCTTTTCAAGTGGTAGACAGTTGTTCTAGAAGTAAATTAATATTGTTGTGATTGTTAATACTAATATAAATAATGGCACTTAACATTTTTGAGTGCTTGCTGGGCATGGTGCTAAATCCCTTAATATACATTTTCTCATATTATCATCATAATTATATAAAATAAACAGTATTATTGTTTCCATTTTACAGAGGAAAAAAACAAAGATTAGGGAGAGCAGTTTGACATTTGGACCCAAATCTGTTTAATGTCAGGGTCTTTGTAAAGACCTGATCATGCCTGAAGACCTAGGTCTAGGCCCAAACCATGTTCTAGGTCTAGACCCAAAAGAGGGCGGTCCCAGGGCAGGATGATTGGGTGGTAGTGGCAAGGAAATGAGTTTCTTTGATTGGCTGCACTGATGAGCAGGAAAAGGCTAATGTATACACAATACATCAGTGAGTTCAGAGGGTCCATATTTGGAGAGAATTTTCTCTGACTATGAATGTTTTTTGCTTCTGACAGAAGATAGGATGATTTTTTTTTCTTTGCTTGATGATTAAGAGGATAGTGTCATTAGAACGATACTACATTTTGAACATCGGATACATTATGAAGCAGGTAAACATGGTACCAAAGCCTCCTCCCGCCGCTCCCTCCCCTGGAGGCTTTACAGGATAACTTAGAATACTTTACTGTAGGGTTCCTTAAGTATCTGAATTCCCCTAAGTTCCTTTGTGTGTTTGTTTACAGTTAATGTGTTAAGAGCCATTGACATTTGAAGATCATCAGAAGTGAAGATAAAACATCTCAAAAATTATAATGTAAGTGAATGGGAAAATGGAATTAAAAAATGGACAAAAGTTAATATTGTCACCAATATTTCTGGAATCCATATACTTTTATCCCAAATGAAATTTATGCCTTTGAGTAACCAGTACCTTCAAACTTTAGTCCCAATTCCAAGTCCCAGTCCTTAAAATTCTGTGTTCTCTTCTACCCGGAGTAAACAGTTGCTGTGTTTTAGTCACCAGTAATTTTCCATTAAAATTCTTTGGGCTTCTGTGTACTGTTTTTTTCCCTTTTTCTCTTTAGTATTTTGCTGTTTGACAACGGCTCATGTTATATTTAAAATTGAATGTATGTAGAGACTGAGGTCTTTGCTCTTTGGCTGCTGATGTTTTATTCAATTTTAATTTTACTTCCATTTTGTATGTTTCTTAGCCAGAAATATGACCAGTTAGCTAGCTAGCCTCCTCCCTTCCTCCCTCCCTCCCTTTGTTCCTCTCTATAAGTATTTGTTTAGCATCTACTATGGCCTGCACATTATGCTAGATCCAGAATTCCTAACACCTTGGTGCTGAAATGAGTTGTGTCATCTTTTTATACAGTTAGGGACGTTAGAGATCATCTGGTGTGACTAGGACTTGTGATGACCTTAAGTGTGGCTGAAGACCATCTGCATATTTCAGTTACCTGTGATACTTAGGAGACATTTAGCTTCCTAGCTTTCAGCGCAGACATTCTGAAACACTGGGAATGGGCCCAAAAATCTGCACTTAAAGTGAGTACCTTCAATCCAGATACTTTTTGGACTCTACATGTTTGTATAGATGCAGAAAGAGACCTAGAGAAGTTTAATAACTTACCCAAAGGTATAGTATGTGTTAGAAGGCCAGAGACGATTCGTCTTGTGTCCTTCAAAGTCACAGAGCTAATTAATGTTAGAAGTGATCTCCTGACTCCCAATTCTAGACTTCACTAAATCGCATAGTGACTTCTTTTAGGCCAGGCAGCTTTCCTGTGTATATATAAAATTGTAATGAATCCGTTACTATTATTGAAAAAATTAACTAAATGCACATACGGGTTTTGTGCATGAAAAACATGGACTATTTCTCCAGTAGATATGTGACTGGTTCTGATTTTGAAATCATTGGGTAGAAAAAGACCCTAGTAGTCCAAGTAGAGGACTGCCCCTCCCCGCCCCCGCCATGGTACTATTCCAACTTGGCCTTTAAGTTTTATGCTTCTGAGAAGGGATTTGATTTAATTTTTGAATGATGGTAGCTAGCATAGTGCTTTGCAAATAGGTGCTTGCTCAACTGTAATATGAATAATTTAATGTTAAAACTTTGCTTTTTACCCCCTTTGGATTCTATGAGGTACTTTTAGAAGTGGTTTTATTTTCTTGGTTCAGAATCTGATACTTTATATACCAAGCCAGAGACATTAAGCAATTGAAGTTATTTTATATTTTTAATACTGAATTATTATGGCTGATAGTCACAGTATCTTTGAGCGACTGAAATAGTCCAAATTATTTTCTGAACCATAAGAGTTTAACTTAGTTTTAGTATTGTGTATGGTTTATATTGTATTGTGTATGGTATACTGATACTGAATTAAAATCTTACATTAGTAAAAGTAGTTATCCAATTTTTGGGAGATACTCTGTAATTCTCGAATAGTAAGTTTAACTACAAAATGCGACTACCCAATTTTCTGGGTATTTTGAGACATGTCTTAATTATACGATTTAAAAAAAGTGATAATCACTTATTCATTTCTAATAGGTTTAAATGTTATGCATTTTCTTTCCATTAAATGGTTTTTGCTCTTTTTTAGCCACAGACCCAAAATCACAAATATGATAGCTCTAAAAGGGAACTTTATTATGTAGTCTAACTCCTTCATTTTTTATGTTGGGACACTAAAGAGTGTCTGAGAGTGGAAGTTTTATGAATGTTAACATATGTTTGTGAACAAACAGAACAACGTGATATTTCTATGATGACACGTGTGAAATGCTTTCAAAACTGTAAAATGTCACATAAATATAATGTATTATGATTACTGCTATGATGATCATATGTCTGCTGAGTTTCCTTGTGACTTAATTGAAAATATTCACTATTGTTTAGTCTAAAATCAGAAAGAGAAATACATATGTTTGTTTCTTGGTCTTTTCTCTTGTTTCCTGTGGTCAGATTTTACTAAGTCTCCTTTAAGCACATGGTTTTAGAATTGATACTTTGCAGGTTACCTGAATTTCTCTTTCACTATGTTAATCTAATCCAGATTGTCACCTTATAAAATTACACAAAATTCTCAGGGTGATGTTTCTATATTGGAGGAGTTCTGTCAGCCATTTTCCATGGAAGAATGAATGAAGGCTCAGTATTATCCCTCAATGTAATCAAAGTAGCTAATAGTAATGTTAACACATTTGGGTATAGTTTTTGTAGTTACAATGCTGTTTGTCCTACATCAGCTCCATTGTTTCTCATAACAGCTTCGTGAGGTCAGTTTTCATCTGACAGATGAGTAACTGAAGCTCAGAAGTGACATGACTGTTCACTGTCTCCTGCTTATAAGAGATGGAACTGGAACTTTGACTCTAAATGCCATTCTGTTTCCACTGCCCAGCATGAATCATAACGTGGAACTCCTGAAGTTTCATGGGGTATACATCTTGCTCTTTAAAGGAAGTTCTGAATATTGGAAAATTGTGACAGGTTCATCTCGTCCAGCCAGCCTAATTATTCAGTGCATACTTCTTTTTAGAAGTCTGACTCATGTTCCTACTCTTGAAGTACTAATAAGAGATGCAGGTATCTTTTGGATCAAAGACTCATTCTCAGCATCATTATCAGTGTGTGCTGCTTAAAATTATTTGAGTGTTTAAATGTTTAAAACGATAGTAATTATAGTCTTTAGAAGTATATTGAACTATATAAACTAAAAAAAAATATACTGTGATACGATACAACACAATGTACTGAAAAATCTTGATTCCTTCTTAGTCCTTGGTTCTTTAGTTCTGATTCTACTTCTTGACTGTGACTCTGGATGTGTCACTTGATTTCTGTGAGCCCGATTCCCTTATCTGGAGTAAGGGTAAAATGATACCTGCTATACTGCCTTTACAGGATTGTTGTGAGGCCTAAATATGAAGATTGATGATGACAATAAGAAAAAAAAAAAAACAGCTGACAGCTATGTAGTATGTACCTAGTGGTAGGCACTGTTTTAAGTATTTTATATATATTAATTCATTTAGTTCTCATAACAGTCCTGCGAAGTATAGGAATTATCATTATTCCCACTTTGTAGATGAGGAAACTGAGAGGTGAAGTAACTTCCTCAAGGTCATACAGGGTGATTGAATCAGAATTTAGTACCAGGCAATCTAGCCCTAGAGTTGGTAGTATGTATGGAAGATAATGTATGGATGAGAGCACTTTGACATTTGTAAATGACTATGCTAATGTTCAGCATTAATATTTTAAAAAATGTTTAAAAAGATGTGTTCTCATGTGTCTCTATGTGTGTAATATATGTATAAATATAAATATATAAAATATGAAAACATATTTGTACATAAGAACAAAAATATAAAAGCATAAATATAATATCATCCTTATTATACAGATAGAGAAAAAAAGGCAAAAACAAGTAAGAAAAAAGTGTCTTGTTATGATTTATGATTTTTTTTAAAATTTTTTTTAAAGATTTTATTTATTTATTTGACAGAGACAGCGAGAGAGGGAACACAAGCAGGGGGAGTGGGAGAGGGAGAAGCGGGCCTCCCCCCAAGGAGGGAGCCCGATGTGGGACTCGATCCCAGGACCCTGGGATCATGACCTGAGCCGAAGGCAGATGCTTAACGACTGAGCCACCCAGGCACCCATGATTTATGATTTTTAACAATTGACTAATCTCGTAAATTTGGAAGAGTTTTCAAAATTATGGAGAGATACATGACTGAATGATGCTAATACATTTGATTTTTAATTCCTTTTCAGGCTAGAACGAGAAAGAGACATTGAACTCTTTTCCTACTGAATGTTTTAACTTAATGGCTGCAAAACAAAACAAAATACCTGTGTTAATTTATGGGATTTTGAAGTTTGTGCAGAAAAGTTTTATCTCATTACACTGTAGGAGTGACCAATTAATAGTAATAATTAGTTTTTCTCTGTCTAGGATTAAAAAAAAAATCTCTCTAGGTAACCTGAAGAATGGTTATGTGACTTCCTCATTTTAATACTGAATTCAGATTTGCATGCTGGGATAAAAAAATTACAAGTGAGGTCATTTATCAAGGCATAAATTCCCTATGTGTTTTCTGTTTGTCCAGGTAAAAGTGTTTTTAAGCAGGCATTTATTGCATAGGTCAACTCTCCTTTTTTAGTATTTTTGATCTTGTATTTCAATTTGGGTTGGAAGTGTTTCTAAAAGGAAATGTAATTTCAGAGTCGTGCGCTTTGAGTTCTAATGCTGTGACCAGTTTTCAGTTGAGTATGACATTTTCTCAGCTAAGCTGAGATATAAATAACTTTTCCCCTCTAGGCTACTTGTGAATCCATATAAGTTTTAATTTTAGCTCTCGTCTGAGTTTGAGTCAGATTTAGAAGTTCTGAGAAATTCTTTCAAGAGGTTGCTGAGGGTGTAGGGATTGGTACTGGGACTCAGGGTGCTTCCTACTCTATTTTTTCCCATCCCCTATGGACACATTCCTTTTGGCTAGAATGCTTTGGCTCTTGCTTGTTTTACCTATTTGTATTTCCAGATAAGAGCTTTGAAGACAAACTACTCTGCAGAAAAAAAGAGAAGTATGTAAGGCATTTCCTTTACAGCCTGGTTTTTCACACTTGCTGGTGGATTACCAAGTTATATGCCCAGACTTTTATTTTGGGAAATATGGTTGTTAGACCTGAAAACAAAATAATGCAAATTAAACTGTACCCAAGGTCACATGTACCTTAGAACCTTGGGATTTTCCAGACTAAGTATCAACGTGCTCCAGCTGTCCCAGAGC